ACACAAGAAATTTAGTTGATATTTGGCCTACCCTCAATAGTACTTTTAAAATCAAGAAATCACAGAGTATCAACAAAGGGCTCAAGAAACTTCCCCCCCCCTTACACCAGGAGACCAACCAGCTACTAAATCCAAAGCAGTATTCAACAACTCACAAGTTCAAAGGCTTATCACAAACATCACTGTGGAAATAAAGTGTGATGGCAACTTCAAATTCCCCCCATCCTGCTTCTGACAATTCAAACGGTGGTGACTCCACAACACGTGTGGGATTATTGAAACTAGAATGCAACTGAAAAACAGCACGCTTTATTATCGTCCCAAGATCCTCATTGGTTGCTCCGCGAACATATACTGTCCACTTATGTGACTGATACCTTGTATAACATCAATATGGTCACTTTTTATATATATTTTTTGTTTTAGAGAAAAAAAAAAAAACATTTAGTGACTTTGAGCTAAATATTAAATACGTGGCGGCAATGTAGGATACTTACTCGCTAGCTTTTTTGCCAAGCCAAAATGCTATGTTTCCGTACACTATTGGAACGCTTATTTCCACGTCTTTGAGTTTCTTACCCAAGTTCTACACAAAACCCAGAAATGATTATAAAATAATCAACTTTAGCAAGATAGAGGAATTGGTTCCAATGTTTTATGACATTCTAAATCATATTAGACGTTCTGCACACTGTTTTAAGATTGTTGTAGTGTTGGATGACGGTTCCAAATCGAAGATTAGAATTTGAATAAGTAACGGAATCAAGCTGCAAGTTTTACACAATCCCAAAAGTGTAGGGTTTGGGGGAAATCGTTATTTAGGCGATTTGGAAAATGGAGTTGCGGGTTTTATCCGAATTTGAATGGAAACAAGGTTACCTTCTTATCGTTGTCTTCGGATTTGCCCATTTTGGTTCGCTGGGATTTTGGGGTAGGACCACTTAATTCAGGTTGATCTTGACCGTGCTTTTTCGAAGATGAGCTGTTGGGCATATCAATTTACAAGTTCGTCTCAAAAATCGAAACTGAATCTGAGCAACTAGTTTTAGGGTTTGTGTGTCTCTGCCAAAATTGCACAGCACAGTTCATTACTTTTACGACGTCGCTTGCAAACAAGTAAAACTGCTGGGAAGATGATCACTTAACGGCTCCAACCCAAAACCAATGTGGGCCTTCTACAAATGGGCATTTTCAAGAATATTGTTGGAGATTCTTTTTCTGGTCTGAGATTTGGAGATTTGAATGGGCCAGATGAGTTGACAGAAAAATATAAAAGAATGGGCTAGCTAAAGGCTTGGTTTTTTTTAAAACACTTTTTAATTTTAGTTTAAAAGTTCAGAAAATTATTTTAAAAGTTAATAATGCAAAATATATTTTGTTTGAAAATAAAAGTTGCCCTTTGAGGGTATTAAAATGATTAAAAGAAAGATTTATTCTTTAATTTTATAAAAGTAGGATGGAAAATTTCTAGTTTTAAGGTTGTATATTTTGTGAACGATGGGTTAATTTGTACATTACTATACTTAATTATTGTGTGAAAAGAAAAATATCTTTAATATTTTTTATTTTTATAAGAAAGGATAAGCCAAAGTTTAGTATTTTTAAATAAAACTAACATTTAGGATAATTTACGTGTATAGAGTACTAGATAGTGTAGTTAAATTAGTATCTTTATAATTTATATCTTCAGAATGATAGAGTAATCTATATATTGCTATTATAAATTATTGCATAAATTAAAGCAATTTTATTTATTATTATCATTTTCAATTAAAACACGGGCTTATGAAGGGACAAAATAAAATTTTAAATCTGTCCTATATAAAACTTATCTATTTTAATATGCTAAAAAAAGAAAAGAAACTTATGCGTTTGATTTATTACTCGTGGGTTACAGAACAATTTATACGTTGCTATAATAGCTCATCATGAATATATATTCTTCCATTTCATATCACTTAATGCTTAATAATTTTGTAAAAAGTAACAGTTTTTTTTTTTTTTTTAAAAGGGAATAAGCCTAATGTGATGAACTCAAAAAATGAGATAAGATATTGAGCTAATTTTATTTTGTATGACCTAAAACTATCCTATGCTCTGCACTTGCAATCATGTGTGTCCTAATAGAACATTGGATTATAACGTAAAATTAGATCAATAATAAAATATTATTAAAATATAATGCGCTTTCATATGCCGCTATTTAAGTTAGGTAATAATACTATAAGTAAAACCCAGTTCATTACCAGTAAGACTAGTAGCAAAATTAGAAAGCTTAGATATATAGGCTGAATACAATGTGAATATTCACTGTTACAAACAACTAAAATTGTATCAAGATAACAGAGAACATATCAGGTTTGAGAATGAAAATATATAATATAAGGCAGAAAAATATCTAATGATTTGCAACGTAGAAGATTCAAGCTTCTAATTTGACATCAACTTATTTGTATAATGGTAGGATGGTTAGGAATTCAGGATTATTAGCAATTGATTATGACATTTTAATTACACAGTCTCCCAACTCTTTCATACCTAAAGCAATTTATATGATTTAATGACATGCCTACCAATCTGCACTTTCTCTCCTTTTATTCATATGTAAATATTTTTAAATTAAGATGCAAACAACTAAAGAATACTTTTGAAATCACTAAGCTAAAGCTAAACGTTTTTATTAGCTATTAACATGTATTATTCATCTTGTATGAATTTCTCCAAAAAAAAGTTGGTATTAAGGAAAACAAATCATAAATTGGAACTTCCACATACATATTATAAATGAAAGACACTAAAAGCAACTCAGGCTATAGACACAGAGTTATACCAGAGACAATTTTTAATAATACCGTCACTGAGAGCAAGAAAAAGATGCATCAATATTTACTAATCACAAAGGAAATCAAGTCCATATCATTCTTAAGGGATGAAGTTGAAAATGAAATGAACGATGAGCTTAACTTATTTTATCCAGCACATATTAACAATGCTAAACTAAGAAAAATGCAAAGGATAAATTATATCTTTTCTTGATAGCACTCGTTAAAACTTCTTCTTACAGCAACATTTACGCATTTAGATTTACAAGTTCTAAAAAGATTTGTACAATAGCAGATTTTACAATATCATGTTAAATGAGTGGCAAAACATATTTAAAGAATATAGATGATAAATCTTAATTGTGAATCTTTACTGGGACTCAATGCTCACAGAAGAAAACTAAAATCATTCTAATGAAAATGCGACCTCCATCTATATTCAAGAAAGCAAATGGTAAATCAAATTATCCATAACACAATCATAATGAGCAAGACAAAGAGAAACAAAAAAAAGCAATAAAAAACAAACCCTTGGCCCGTCATTCTTAATTATTCTAGTATGCATTGATTAATATGCAAGAAGATATTCAATCATTTCATTGCAAATCAAAAGGATTTTAGACTTTATAAACCTGGAATCAGAGTCCAACAGTGCTCGAACCAAAGCTGAAACTCCAAATCAATTTACTCCTTTCAATTCCCCGAGCGAAACTTTAAGTTGACCTCTTTCTTCTAAGCTTCCTCTGTATGTGTCGCTCCTTTTATTCTTATGCAATTCTTTAGCCATGTTCAGAATCTTGAAAATCCCAATCCTCCGCATCCAAAGTCTGATGCCGTAAGTTTGATCGAAAAGCCCCAAAAGTCCCCGCCTCTCAACCAAAAAGTCCTTTTATATTATTATATTGTTTAAAAAAAATTGTTTTTCTATTAATTTTTTGTTTGTTTGTTTTTTAGCTGTTATAAAAAAAATAAAAAATATGTTACACCATTATTAATGTTACTAAATTATTTTAGAAGAGAATTTTTATATACATTTTATTTTATATGTATTTTATTTAGCATTATACTTATTGTAATTTTATTTTCTTTATTTTATGTCATTTTAAAAATTATTTATTTTACAAATTCTATTTAAAAATATCATTTTTATTTTAAACTAATATACACATCCAAAAATTATATTTAAACAGTTAAATTAATCAAACAGACAAAATTGTATGTTCACACAGGTATTCAGCCAGCCCTCAATACTAAGTTACTGATCAATCATAATGTAATTCTAATGAAAACCAGATGTGAGAGAGATTTCAATGAAGACTGAATCTATGGATCAGAGCCCACTCATATCAAGCAACATTTACATGATAAACATTTTTGGTTCATGAAACCATATTGCTTGCAGTATCAGCCTATGTTGAATTTTAGAACAGCTATAAAGACTGTACCAACCTTATTTTCATGTGGTCAGTCATAACGGGCCATTTGGATAAAGTGTAAGTCAACAACACAGCATAATTTCCTAGAAATGTGGAGAGTATTAGTTGGTGAAGTTCAATCATACTTTTCTTTTCAGCCATTATGTTGGCCTGACTGCAATGCCTTTTATCTCGTAATTAACTGAGCTCAAAAAAGATGTCCATTCCAAGCTTCCTACTTCTCACAATTCATAACAATTATTCCAATAGCTAAAGTTAAAAAAGACTGTACTTAAGTGTCAACAATTTCTTATAGGTTGATATGCTATCAATTTCCTGATCACTATATGTACACATTAGATGTCTCATGCGTGTCTGGAACACAATAAAGAAGCCAACTGTAATGTTTAGACAAACATTTGGCATTGAGAAGTACACATTTCTGTGCTTTCAATTTTCAAGTGGGAACAATCTTGCTCGTTCATAAAAAAGTGGGGAATTCAACATCGACACAATTTCTTCATCTTTGATAAAAAACTTCACAGTACCATGTGATCCTTCATGCCCGTGCCTCTCCCTAGACCCCATTTGGACAGCTCTTCATCAATAATGTATGTACATAATAATTGTTTTCCAAAACTCTCTCTTTATCTATATATAGAGATAGTCATGGTTGCAGTCACAAACAAATCAAGTCCTTTGCATTTTTGAAACATAAAATACTTCCAACCCAAGTTTGTTTAATTCATTCTCTTGATCTGCAATGGGTTTCCGTTTGCCTGGGCTTCAGAGGCGCAGTGATGTCCCAAAGGGCTATCTTGCAGTCTATGTGGGAGAAAACGAAAAGAAGCGGTTTGTGATTCCTGTATCATATTTGAACCAACCTTCAATCCAAGACCTGCTTAGTCAAGCTGAACAAGAATTTGGATTTGATCATCCAATGGGAGGCCTCACAATCCCTTGTAGAGAAGACGTCTTCCTAGATATCATTTCAAGCTTGCACAGGTCATAGAGGGGAAGATTGAAATGTAGATGGTCAATGACCTATTCAATTTTGTATACAAGACATGGTTATACATTGTAAATATTTTATCTTTCTTTCTTGTCTTTCCCAGAAAATTCGGAAGATGTGTATCCAGATAGAAACTTATAAATACAGATTATTGCAACCATTTGTTTTCTGAATTTTCCCATGACCCATTATTTCAAATTAGATGGATTCTTGTCAATTTATTTTTGGTAGACTTGAACTATACTTGCAAGATCATACTTTTGATTTGTATGTTTAATGCTTCCTTCTCTCTATTGCTTTTGTCGAAAAACCAGAAAGCAGCCTTGCGTTTCTTTTTATTAAAATAGATATTTAGACTCATGATCAAAATCCAATGTCTTGACAGAATAAGATGGGCATTATTATTAATAATTTGAGTGATGGTCCATGATCAGAGGTTCTAAAATCTGAATATATCCTTTCCTATACCTACAAAGCCGATGTTTACATAGTACCTTCTGTTGTGTATTCAAGTATGAATGAAAATAATTCTAGCACCCATGAAACACCAATATGAAATTTATTGGAATCTTTCCAATACAGTCAATAACAGTTGCATTAATATGATCTTGAACTCATGAACCTATATTAACTTGAAGTGTCTTCTTCTGTGATTTTTATTTTTGATAAAAATATACATGGGGTAACACGTGGAGTTATATTTGAACAATAATTTTTTTTTTTCAGTTCATAAAAGAAGTAAAACAAGATATTATTTTATATAATTTTTTGTCTTTCTAGATAAAAAGCATTTGTAACCTTACACTGTAAAATGTAAAGTGCATCAGTGTGAGAAGATTTCCCAAAAAAATAAGGGAGACGGCTAATACAGCTCAAGTATTGGAAAATTTAAAGCTTTGAAGAGAAAGTCTCACATTCACATTAAGAACTACATGACATGCCACATAGACAACATGTCCCTCCAACCATGGAAGTCCACCATTACGGTAGAGTTGCATCTCTTCAGAAGATGCCTTACAATTGAAGCCTTAAAGTTTTTGTGCAGTTTGTTTTTTCAGGTTTTGCAATCACTTATGCAACAAGAAGTATAAAGATTTTACACCCAAAAAAAGAACCTACTTCAAAGTTAAGGGACTATCTGCAAAACCTCCTTTAAATTTCAAACAGTAGCTGAGATAATTGGCATCTCCAAGTTAGAGCTTCATTAAGAAAATATAAGAATCGATGGCCGTTCGAAAATAAAGAATGATTTTGTAGTGATAATAGCATTGGAAGAAGCTCCTAATTAACTTAAATTATTGTGTGATGCTGAAAGCAGGAAGTCGGGAACTAAATGAGCCAAACATTGTAGAAAGATCTAGCAACAATTGGCTAAAGCAGTTCCAGGACAAATGTGTTGTGTGTTCCTTGTTCGGCTCAAGGGCGTATATTGAAATACAATACGGAAGCAATAACGACCATTATCAAGATTGTTTAACATCTCCAATAGAATTACTGCACTTAATCCTTATTAAAAGGTGATAGCCTGATACATATCAAATGATATTTGATAATAAAACTGTTTTATGTACTAGAGCTCATTGAGATTTGGCAAAAGCAGAAGTGATTAAACAAAGTTTTCCATGCATTCAACATCCAAAGAAATTAGACTGGAAACCAAAATGGAATATCTTTACAGTAAAAAAGTCGCTTCTGTACAAATTTGCCTCAACTAATCTATATCAGTTTCTATTGGCATGATTTACAGTTCATTCAAGCTAGAAGTGAGGTTTAGGAACTCATCCTCCTTGCATGGGATTGTGAGACCACCCGTTGGATGATCATATCCAAATTCTTCTTCTGCTTGACTCAGTAACTCTTGAAATGAAGGTTGGTTTAAATATGATACTGGAATCATAAACCGCCTCATTTTATCTCCAACATATATTGCAAGATAACCTTTTGGTACTTCAACCCCTTTGAAAGCTGCTTGCGTTGTAGAGAATGATGCCCGTCTAATAATACTTGCTATGTGGAAACCCATTGTTTTCTGTGGCTCCGCAGAACAAATAATATACTGATGTCAAAGGACTTGTTTGAGAAAAAAATCTTTGAATTCTGATACTTCTGGAATGCAATGATGGATGATGTTGAACCCAAGAAATAGTATATATATAGTCAAGGGCCCCCAGATCCAATTCCACAATGAATGAGTTTTGACGGGGCTATGATATACTGAGAGACAAGGGATCACATGATATTGTCTTAAGAGTTCTCTTTCAAAGATTAGGAAGATAAATGGGACTCCAAACCCCACCTTCTGAGGCCAACAGATTTACTCCCCTTAAATTAAATACATCAGCAAAAAGTGTACCTAATGCTTGTTCATTCATTGAGATACAGCTACTTCAGTGATAGACAAGCTTTAGACACCTCATATGTTTGTTTGGACAAATGACAAAGCTATTGGTATATCTACCATATACAAACTAATATCAGAGTGAGAGTAAGGAACCTGTAAATGTTGAACAGACACTATTGGAATTGGATGTAAGAAGATAATTGACGTTGAACAATGAACACATAGAGGCCCTGAAAACCACATTTTTTGTGTACGTCAAATTTTAGGCAGCACCATGTGAACTTGCATACATGAAGTTTGTGGATTCCGCCACCCAAAATAAATGTCAACAAATCCAATTACTCTTTTTTCCACATATGCGTTTGTTTTATTTCAAATGATGTTATTTGTTGGCTTTCACTCCGGAATGTGAGACTAGTACTATCTTATCTACCATAACATGTTATATTGATTAATGAGAAACTCCACCAAGACAATGCCATATGCCCTTGTCTCTTGGTCTCATGACTCCTATCTCATTGCCCTCCACCAATAATTCAACTAGCCAACAGGTTCTTACATATCCTTTTATCTATATATATTCATGGTTGCAAGCATTTTAAGACCAACACAAATAGTTCACATCCCGAGGGATTTGAAATTCATAAACCTGCACTTTTCAAGTCTTTTTTAGACCATTATCTTCTGGAGGCTCGGTGCATACAATACAACAATGGGTTTTCGTTTACCTAGTATCAGAAAGGCAACATCTGCTGCTAACCAAGCATCTTCACAAGTTGTGGAGGTGCCAAAAGGCTATCTTGCTGTGTATGTTGGAGAGAGAATGAAGCGGTTTGTGATTCCCATATCATACTTGAACCAACCTTCATTCCAAGACTTGTTGAGTCAAGTTGAGGAAGAGTTTGGATATTATCACCCCAAGGGTGGCCTCACAATTCCTTGCTGCGAAGATGTCTTCCAACAGATAACTTCTCACCTAGAAGGACTATAAATCTCACACTGTAGCAGCTGACATAGAGTTGTAGAGACAATTTTGTACAATAGGCATCTTCTCAACTTGTGAAGATCTCCATTTCTAGGAATATAGGAAAAAAAGAAAGACCATTGTAATGAGAAGTTTGTTCATTTTTCCTTTGTTTAATGACAATGAATTCAACTACTCAAGCAGCTCCTTTTTATTTTCAGTTTATTAGTTACATTGTCATTTATCATTTCATCCCGTATGAGCAAGGATGCTTGCTATAAGAAAACCAGACTTGTTCTGATAAATTTCAAGACATGAATAGGACACGTGATTCCTTGGCAAGGGAAGAGTAAAAGTGTTTTTAAGATTAATTTATTTAGCAAAAAATTAAAAAATATTTCATTAATAAATGTATACAATATGCATAAATTTGGGAGCCAATGCCCCAGTCACACATGAGGTGTACCTTCGCTGCCATGAATGGTACTAATAATGGAGTTAACAACAAGGTTAAAATTTACCCTTGAATAACACTAGCCTACTTCAATAGTAAAAGCTTTCCCTCATACCATTGACGTATGGATTGTATGAACTAATGTTTTTCTATGATTTTTGTTTTCTAGATCAAATGAAGCTATGACCTTATAATACAAGAAGCATAGGCTTACAGCTACATCCCCAAAAAAAGGTTGCCTTGAAGCTAAACAATAGATCTAGGTCCTTAACAATTATGATAGTTGGCTAATATTTATGTTACAAATTATCATCCCACATTATTCATAGAGTTATAGAGTTGGACATTGGAGTCACTAATTTTAAACATTAGATTCACACGTAATTTGGGAAGGGAGAGAGTATAAGGCACATATAGTAGAACAACAGTCAGCTAACCATTGAATCTGTGTGGATCAGAATTCTTATTTTTCTTTCCACTTCTATTGACAATATCTTCTATTACTGTAGTGAAATATGGGGCAATAAGAAAGTAGTAGTAATCCATTTATGCCCAAGAATGAATAAAACAGTGATGCTTGTTTAGGAAAACGAAAGCTGATAGCCTGGTATATATCAATAAAATTTCCTTGAGTTTTGGCAAATGGTAAAAGTGTTTTAACAACTATTTCTCATAAATTTATCATTCAGATAACAATTTTTGATTTCCAAAGGTAGGCCACAAGGAAGAAACTGAAATGGAAAATCTTGAAAAAATGAAAGTGCCTTCTGTACAAATTTGTCTCAGCTATGAGCTATGTATAAGGTATCTAAGTCCCTATTAGTTACAATCCATTCAAGCAAGAAGTGAGGCCTAGGAACTCATCCTCCCTGCATGGAATTGTGAGACCGCCTGTTGGATGATCATATCCAAATTCTTCTTCTGCTTGACTTAGTAAATCTTGAAATGAAGGTTGGTTCAAATATGATACTGGAATCACAAACCGCATCATTTTATCTCCAACATAGACCGCAAGATAGCCTTTTGGTACTTCAACCTCCTTGGAGGCTGCTTGGGATGCAGAGAATGATGCTCGTCTAATAATATTTGCTATACGGAAACCCATTGTTTTCTGTTGCCAGTGGTTCACACAAAAATCAATCTATTGCTCTAAAAAGGTTTGTATAACAAGAAATATTCAACTTCTCGTACTTCAGGATGCAAACGATTTGTGTTGCCTTAGAACACAAGAAATAGTGCATATATAGTTTCTAGTGGCCTCTGTATTTGAATTCCACAATAATGAATCTTGGATGACTTATGAAGTGGATATGAAGGGGTCTACTGAAGACAGGGATCACATGGTATTGTCTATTCCAAGTTTCCTACTCTTGAAAATTCACAAAGGTTATTTCTATTACTAAACAATTTGAAAAAGACTACACGTTGGTGTCTAAAGTTTCCTAGTCTTATCTATATACTTGAAGGTAGACTCACGATCAATTTCCTGATCAAAATGTAGTACACATGAAATGTCCCAAGCATGTCTGGAACACAATAAACAAGCCATCTATATAATGCTTAGACAAGCATTAGTTACTGAGTTGTAAGTATTTCTCTGGTTTCAATTTTCTAGTGGGTTACCATCTTGCTCATTCATAAAAAAATGTGGGGCATTCAGGCACACATTATTTCTTCATCTTTCGTGAAAAGCATAACAGACAGTACCATGTGATCCTTCATATCTATGCCTCTCACTAGACCCCATTTGGACAGCTCTTCATCAATAATTTCTGAAACTAATGGTTTTCCAAAGCCCTCTCTATCTATATATAGAGATGGTCATGGTTGCAGTCACAAACAAGTCAAGTCCTTTACATCTTCAAAACATAAAATACTTCCTACACAAGTCTTTTCAAATCATTCTTTTGATCTGCAATGGGTTTCCGTTTGCCTGGACTTCAGAGACGCAGTGATGTCCCAAAGGGCTGTCTAGCAGTGTACGTGGGAGAAAACGAAAAGAAGCGGTTTGTGATTCCTGTATCATATTTGAACCAACCTTCAATCCAAGACCTTCTTAGTCAAGCTGAACAAGAATTTGGATTTGATCATCCAATGGGAGGCCTCACAATCCCTTGTAGAGAAGACATCTTCCTGGATATCACTTCTCGCTTGCACAGGTCATAGAGGGGAAGATTGAGATGTAGATGGTCAATGACCAATTCAATTTTGTACACAATACATAGTTAGGCATTGTAAATTTTATCTTTCTTATCCTTCCTAGAGAATTGGAAGATGTACCCAGACAGAAACTTATAAACGCAGATTATTGCAACCATTAATTTTCTAAATTTTCTCATGACCCTTTTTTAAGTTGTTATGGAATGTTGGCAAGTTATTTTTGGTAGACTAAAAGATAATTTCAGGATCATATTTTTATCAGGGCATGAACCTGAGTAGGAACCATTGGAGTTCAGTGTCGAAAATGCACATGCTTAATGATTGCTTCTATATATTGCTTTTATCAAAAGGACAGGAATTAAACTTTCTTTTTTTAATTTGTTTTCTCCCTGAAAAAACATATTCAGATTCATGATCAAAATCTAACTTTTTATAGAATAAGTTGGACAACATTGTTAATGATTTGGGTGATGGTCCATAATAAGAGATTCTTAAATCTAAATCCTTTTATAGACTTTTGTACTGTGGATGATTACATAGTACCTTTTATTGTGTATTCAAATATGCATGAAAGTATTTCCAGTATCCATGAAAGATAAATAATATATTGCAGTTTTTCCATTACAGTCAAGAACAGTTGCATCTTGAACTTATGAACCTATATCAACCTGAGTATCTTCTTTCTGTAATGTTTGATCAGTAAATTTATTGGGGAACATGTGGAGTTATATTGAAAAGTAATTTTATGTTTTAATTCTTAAAAAGAAGTATAAGAACCAATGCTTTTTTCTGATTTTTGTCTTTTTACATAAAAAAGAATCCGTGACCTTACACTGTAAAGTGCGTGTGAGAGGATTAAACTGATGTTTGTGCTATAAACTATACTCAATATTTATTTGGTTGGAGTCAGTACTTGTTCACTAACAGGGTTCCATATTCACAGATTAATTTCATGAACAGAAATAATTGGGAAAGTGAGAAAAGTATAGGAAATGGATAATAGAACAATTGTTAGCTAATCCCTTTCTACCAAATGGCAATATCTCCTAGTACTGCTGTGAAATTCATGGCACCTTAGTCATTTAACTAATAATAATCCATGTGATGGAGTTGCTTGATTAGGAAGATAAAAAAATCGATGACCCTTAGGAAATGGGGATGATTTTTAATGATGATAGAATAGGAAGGAACACCAAATGAACTTAAGTTAGTATTTATGTGATGCTGAAAGTAGGAGGGCAGGATCACGATGAGCCATTTGAATAGAAAAATCAAGCAAAAGGTGGCCAAAGCTATTTCAGGACAAATGTGTTGTGGGTTCCTTGTTCAGCTCAAGAACATATATTGAAAAGCAGTAATGACCATTACTAAGAATGGTCAATATCTCCAATAAAATTGCTGAACTTAAACCCTAATAAAAATCTCATAGCGTGATATATATCAACTGAATTTGATAATGATACTGTTGTATATATTAAAGCTCATTTACATTTTGCAAAAGCAGTAAGCAATGCTTGCCTTACACTCTCATTCAGGCAACATTTGTCAATTTCCAGAGTAATTATACAAGATGGAAAAATCTTTACAATGAAAGAGAGTGCCTACTGTACAAATTTGCCTCATCTAATCTATCTGTCTCCGTTGGCATGATTTACAGCTCATTCAAGCAAAGGCTTAGGAACTCATCCTCGTCACATGGAATTGTGAGACCACCTGGATGTGTTAGAGGTAAAAAGAGAAGAATTATAATAATAGGAGGATTTTATTATTTTGTCTCACCAAATACATAGTATAATTTACTATTTACAATAGTGATATTACAATCTTTAAGTTATATTGAAGAATAATTGCTCCTTAAATATCAAATAGTTAAAACAAAGAATTATTACTCTTAACAAAGAAATTATGGTCTTTAACTCACACTAACATACATTTACTTCACAACTTTTCAATTTGTAACTCATGTAAAACTTTATTTTTAATTATTATTTCTAACATCCTCCCTTAATTAAAAATTCTCAAAAATTCTTTTGCACTCCAAGTCTTTCTCTCAATCTTCTAAAGTCTTCAAATTTGAGTGGTTTGGTAAAAATATCAGTAACTTGATCTTGAGTCTTCACAAAAATCAGCTCCACTTCTTTCTTGGCAATGCATTCTCTAATGAAATAATATCTCTAATGAAATCAGATTTATTATCAATGTGAATTTTAGTACTCTCCTTTCAGCCTCAAAAGTAAAAAGTGTGACAATAGGTTATTTTTTAGAATTTCAAGAAAAAGCACAATTACCCATGAATAACACAAATCCAGTAGTGCTCTTTCTATTATCAACATCACCTGCACAATCACTATCACAGAATCCCACAAGCTTGAAATCATTACAAAGAGAATAAAATAACTCAAAATCAATTGTACCTTTCAAATAACAAAAAATTCTCTTTGCAGCTTTTAAGTGAGTAGAGGTGAGAGCTTCCATGAAACGACTCACAACTCAAACTGTATACAAAATATCAGGCCTTGTACTTGTTAAGTACCTTAAGCTTCCCACTAGGCTCTTGAAGATCGTGGGGTTTATCTTTTCTCCATCATCAAACTTCGACAACTTTAATCTAGCTTCCATGGGTGTGCTCACAGGATTGCAATCAAACATCTTAAACTTTTCCAAAATTTCTTTTGCATACCTCTCTTGTGAGACAAAAATACCATTCTCCATTTGCTTTACCTCTAATCCCAAGTAATAGGACATAAGCCCCATATTTGTCATCTCAAATTCATAAGACATAACTTTCTTGAAATCTTCAAATAAAAATGGATTATTGCCAGTAAAGATAAGATCATCCACATAAAGACAAACAAACAAAATATCACCATTATCAAAAGTTTTAATATAAAGGGCATACTCATGTTGACAACGGATAAATCCATTGTCTTGAAAGTATTTATCAATGCGACTGTTCCATGCCCTCGGCACTTGTTTTAATCCATATAACACCTTCTTCAACTTAAAGACCTTTTCTTCTTGTCCCTTGACTATAAAGCCCATTGGTTGTTCAACATAAATACTTTCTTTGAGATAACCATTCAAAAAGGCTGATTTGACATTAAGTTAGAAAATTTTTCATTTCATTTGAGCTACCAAGGAAATAAGAAGACAAATTGTCTCCATGCGAGCAATTGGTACAAACACTTCTTCATAATCAACTCCATGTTGTTGCCTATAGCCTTTAGCAACGAGTCTTGCTTTGTATATTTCTACCTTTCCATTGACATTCTTTTTAATCTTAAACACCCATTTTACTCCAATTGCTTCATGATTCTTGGGAAGATTTGATAGTTCCCAAGTGTCATTTTTTTCAATGGCTTTGATTTCTTTCTCCATGGCTTTTCTCCACCTTTGGTTCTTCATATCTTTATCAAAATTCATTGATTCATTGTCAACAAATAAACAAAACAAATCATTTATCATTTCAGTTTCATCATATATTTCTTGGAGACTTTACATTTTTCTTGGCCTTTTACTTGAACTCTCTTCAGAGGATGATGAGATTTCATAAGTTGGTGAAAGAGGTGGAGTAGAAAACTCATTCGGTGGTTTGCCTCCTTCTTGATCTCCTTCTTTAAAGTACGGGAAAAAATCATAAGTGTTGTCTTCTTCCTTCTCCCAGTTCCAAGCTTCTTCTTCATCAAATTCAACGTCTTGACTCACTATTATTTTACCAATGCTTGGGTTGTACAACTTGTAGCCTTTTGAGTTTGCATCATAGCCAATGAACACATACTTCATACTCTGATCATCAAGCTTTGATCTTTCCTTGTTTGGTACATGAGCATATGAAATGCTCCCAAAGACTCTAAGATGGTCAACTTTTGGCTTCACTCCACTCCATGCTTCTTGCGGTATTTGATCTTTGACATTTCTTGTAGGAGAACGATTAGACAAATAACTGCACAAGTAACAGCTTCGGCCCAAAATTCCTTGGACATATTTTTAGCTTTTAACATAGATCTTGCCATATTCAAAATAGTTCTATTTTTTCTCTCTGCTATCCCATTTTGTTGGGGAGTTCTAGGAACTGTTAGAAGGCGACGAATCCCATATTTTTCACAAAATTTATTAAATTCCTTTGATATGAATTCGCCATCTCTATCGTACCATAGAGCTTTGATTATATAACCACTCTTTTTTTTACAAGTGCTTTAAAATTTTTAAAAGCTACAAATGCTTCAGATTTTTTCTTTAAAAAATAAACTCAAGTCTTCCTGCTAAAATAATCAATAAAGAGTAAAAAATATTTATTTTTACCAAACAAGGCAGGATCAATTGGACCACATGCATCGGTGTGAATAAGTTGGAGAGGCTCTTTTGCTCTTGATTCGGCTTCTTTAGGAAAACTCCTCCTTGCATACTTGCCAACGAGACATGCTTCACACAATTGATTGGGATGGTTGATGGAAGACATCCCTCTCACCAACTTCTCATCTCCTAGAGCCTTGAGTGCACCAAAGTTTAAGTGTCCAAATCTCTTATACCAACCTCCATGATTCATTTTTTGTGCTAGTCTTCAAACATTTAGCTTCAATGGTCTTAATGTTTAAAATAAACATTCTGTTTCTTGACATAAACACCTTGACAATCAAGTTAGAATTTTGATCTCTAAGCCACAAACAACAATCTTTCATAAGGATTTCATATCCCCTCTCAACAAGTTGTCCCAAACTTAAAATATTACTTTTTAGTTTAGAAACATAATAAACATCCATAATCAGTTTGTGAGTACCATCTTTTAAAGAAATTAAAATGGTACCTTTTCCTTGGATTTGTACCTTGGAAGAATCGCCAAAGGAAACATTCCCTTTCACCTTCTCATCTAGCTCCACAAATTTTTTCCTGTAACCACACATGTGATTACTTACTCCGTTGTCAAGATACCATAAGCATTTGTCACCCTTCTCTTTATTGTTAAGTGCTAGCAACAATGTTGGCTCTTCATCTTCTTCTTTCTCTCCAACAAGGTTGGCCTTCTCTTCAACATTTGTTCTACACTCCCAAGAATAATGACCATATTTTTGACAATTGAACCATTCAATATTAGATTTATCATACTTCCTTTCATATGTCCTACCAAAATTGCCTCTGCCTCTTCCTCTTCCACAACCTCTAGTAGGTTGATAATCATCTCTATTGTCAAAATTATCACGATCTCCTCTTCCTCCTCTTCCTTGGCCACGACCACATCCCCTTCCACGTCCTCTTCCACTTCGTTGTTGATTTTTTTTCTCCTCCACTTTCTTTCAAAGAGACTTTGGTTTTAAGGACTTGCTCCAAAGGCTCTTCTTGTCTTCAATTAAATCTCTCTTCATAAGCTTGAATCGAACCTATTAACTAGTCAACAAACATTGAGTCTAAATCTTTTGACTCTTCAATAGCACAAACCACATAATCAAATTTTGTGGTTAAGGAGCAAAGTGTTTTTTCTACTACGCGAACATCTTCCACATTTTCTCCATATCACTTCATTTGATTTACAATAACCATTACTCTATTACCAAAATATGAAATAGGTTCAGATTCCTTCATACGCGAGGATTCAAACTCTCCTCGTAGAGTTTGTAAACGCATCTTTTTGACCTTGTCAACCCCTTCAAGGTTCGTTTTTAAAATCTCCTAAGCTTCTTTGGAGTTGGCTGCATTAGACATTACCTTAAACATGGCTTCATCTAAGCCTTGATGAATAAATGCAAGTGCTTGTTGATCTTTCTTCTTTTGCTTTGTCAAAACATCTTTCTCATTTTGTGACAAAATAGCCTCATCTTGAGGCTTATCATAACCTTTCTCTACAATCTCCCAAGCATCTTGAGATCCTAGTAAGGTTTTTATGTGTTGACACCAGTTATCATAATTTTCTCGGGTGAGACGTGGAAATTGAAACATATTTAGACCATTGTTTGGCATCTCTCCACTTTCAAAGTGTTTCACTCAACTCTCGAAGTGTTTATCTCAACTCTCAATATCGAACCGAGTTCTTGATACCACTTTGATAGAGGTAAAAAGAGAAGAATTATAATAATAGGAGAATTTTATTATTTTGTCACACCAAATACATGAGTATAAGTCACTATTTATAATAATGATATTAAAACCTTTAAGTTACACATTGAAGAATAATTGCTCCTTAAATATCAAATGGTTACAAACAAAGAATTATTACTCTTAACCAAGAAATTATGGTCTTTAACTCACACTAACACTCATTTACTTTACAACTTTTCAATTTGTAACTCATGTAAAACTTTATTTTTAATTATTATTTCTAACAGGATAACCATATCTAAATTCTTCTACTTGACTTAGTAATTCTTGAAATGAAGGTTGGTTCAAGAATGATACCGGAATCACAAACCACTTCATTTTATCTCCAACATACACTGCAAGATATAGCTTTTTGTACATCAACCCCTTTGGAGGCTGCTTGGGATGTAAAACCCATTCTTTTCTGTGCTCTACACAAAAAATAATACATAGATGTCAAAGAAATACAAATATTTGAATTCTGATGCTTCAGGATGCAAATGACTTGTGTTGCTTGAAAACCCCCGAGAAATAGTGTATATATAGTTGCTAAGGGCCTCTCAGTCCAATTCCATAATGAATAATTTTTGATGGGGCTATCGAGGGACAAAGGATCACATGGTATTGTAGTAGAATTATCTTTCAAGGATTAGAAAGTTAAATGAGAGTGCATACCTTATCATAACCCCAACTTCTGAGAGAGTGGCCAACATATTAAAATTGAAGATCCAACATAGGTGAAAATTAATGCTTGTTCAGTCATTGTGCTATGGCGACTATAATGGTAGACATGTTAGCAACCCATTTAGTTTTAGTTCCTATCTTTAAGAAACATAAAAATAGGAACATAATGTGATCCATATCTCCATTAACAACATTCAGTTTTTATTTTATGCAGAGGTTACCACTGTTAATTTTTGAATTGGACTTTATGATGGGCAGAGTCCTATAAATAAGTCACACTCTCATGGTTTTAGGTCACCTGAATCCGCTTCTCCTTTAGAACAATACACACCATTGTGATTGAGTGAGTGAAAATTTGAAAAGACTAAAAACTTCGATCTTGAATCAACTTGTAATGGCTGGAGGTTAGTATTAATCAATCCATTCTTCGCTTCCGCATAGCTTTTATAGCTTTTTACAAGACATGCTTAGACATCTCACTTGTTTCTTTAGATAAGATGACAATGCTATTGATATAGCTTTGAAACAATGTTTGGCGGTAAGAAGAGAACGAATATTGAACACATGATCATAAGGCACCACGAATCATATTTTTTTGTGTACCATAACTTCTAAGCAACACCACGCAAACTTGCATACATGAAGTTTGCAGTCCCCACCACCCTCAATTAAGTGTCAACAAGATCCCATTAGACTTTCTTTTTCATACACATGTATTATTTCAGTGGGTACTCTTTTTGATCTTCATTTGGGACTTGTATTATCTACCATAACATGTTACTTTATTCAAGGGAGAGTCCTCTAAGACAACACCATATGCCATTGTCTCTCATTTGTCCCCATGACTCTTGTCTCATATCCCTCCACCAATAATTCAGGTAGCATAGCCTATGGTTGCTTACATATTCTTTTATCTATATATACTCATGGTTGCGAGCATTTCAGACCAAGACAAATCACTCACATCTTGAAGCATTTGAAATTCATAAATCTCCACTAAGTCTTCTTCTTCCCCTGTCTCAATACATACATACAACACAACAATGGGTTTTCGTTTACTTGGTATCAGAAAGGCATCACTTGCTGCAAACCAAGCATCTTCAAAAGCAGTGGACGTCCCAAAGGGCTATCTTGCGGTGTACGTTGGAGAGAAATTGAAGCGGTTTGTGATTCCCATATCACACTTGAACCAGCCTTTATTCCAAGACTTGTTGAGTCAAGCTGAGGAAGAGTTCGGGTATGATCATCCCATGGGTGGCCTCACAATTCCTTGCGGTGAAGATGTCTTCCAACACATAACTTCAAGCTTGAATGGGCTATAAATCCATCTAGAAAAGTGACATAGATTAGTAGACACATTTTTGTACTATAGGCTTCTCAATTTGTAAAGATCTCCCTTTCTGGAGACATAGGAAAAAAAGAGACAATTAGAATGAGAAATTTGTTCCTTTTCTTTTGTCTAATGACAATGAATTCAATTACTCCAGTGTTTTCTGTTTATTATATGCAAAATCAATGTTATTGTTCACCCTATATCAGCAAGGATGATTGCTATAAGAAAAACCAGACTTGGTTGTTCTGATTGATAAATCAGCAATCAGGGCAGAACAAAAGTATTTTTACTATTCATCGGAAAAAAAAAGTATTTTTACTAGAAATAAGGAGAAATATACTTTAATTTGGACAAAGTTCAAATATATTTTATTAATAAACATTCAAAAGAAGCATATGAAATTGAAGTTCGGGGATTCAAGGTCCCAATCAGGTCGAGCCAACGTTTATTAATGTCTAAAGCGAATTATTATAAGCGACCTATTTAAAATAATAAAATTAATTTACTAAAAGTATATTTTATTTGAAATTTATCTTTTTTTAAAAAAATTTAAGATACAAAATTATTTATCAGCATATTGTAAATTAATTTGTAATCATCAATTTCGTTTAACAATTTTTTTTTCAAAGTCTTAACCAACAAGATGCAAGCTCTTTGCTGAATAGAAAAAAAATGGTGAACAGTATGAAGGAAAGATAGAATGGTGTTAATTAGCGGAGAATATGACGGGACAAATAAGAGCTTTCTCATGGAAATAAAGAAAGTCACAATAGAAAAGATGAGTGACTATTTTAAGGAAAAAAATTTAGTTACCCTTACTAGATTAATATTATTTATTAAATAATTACTATTTATATATTTTTGATAAAATATTATTAATAAATAAAACTTAGGTCAATCAAGCGCCTAACCCTATAGGCTGGCCGTAGCCCCAATTACACATGAGGACCTTCCCTTGCATGGACTGATGGACAGTGTACAGTAACTATGGACTTCAAAGTTTAATTTTAATTTCCCTTTGACCATAAAAAAAACTAATTTTTACCTTGAACAAAGCTTTCTCCCATACCATTGACGTATGGTTTATCCATAACTCTATATCTGTAAGGTAAAAAAAAAACCATTGTTTTTTTTTCTTTTTTAAATTTGTGTTTATATAAAATGAAGCTATGACCTTAAATTGCAGAAAGCGTAGATTTAAAGTTTTTACACAAAAAAAGGTTTACTTAAAGATAAAAATAGATCTCGGTTCAAGAAAAAGAATTATGGAAAATTTAAAATTTAAATTAAGATTAAATTTTATTTTATTTTTATCTTTATTAATATGGTATGTTGAAATTTGAAAATTAAATTCAAATTAATCTTGATTAAGATAATAACAATCTTAAAATTCAGTTTTTCTAGAATGATATCTTTAATTTGATGTAGTGTATCAATATTTAAATTTTAAATTTAATTTAATTTAAGATGAAAACAATTAAATATATTTGAAATTAATAAAAATATCTAAAAATGAAATACTAAATGATAGAAGACGTCAAGTGACATAATAAGGATAAAAAATGAAGACTTAAATTTAATATGTAAAGGTAGATAAACAAAAATAACTTAGAAAGGGATAAAAAATTAGGCCATGGATACTAAAACAGCTAGTTAATCATTGAATTTGTGTGGATCGGAATTCTTATTCTTCATTGCACTAAAATTTGTAATATCTTCTATTATTGTTATGAAATTTGGGGCAATACCATAGTAGGGACAATCCATGTATTAGTGCCCAAGAAACAACTAACAATCCAAGTCATGGCGCTAGGAAAATGGAAGAATCGACCCTTAGAAAGTGGGGACGATTTTGCAGGGACAATTGAATGGCTAGAATTAAATCAGCCACCTCACGGATATAGAATCTAGCAGCATGGCTTAAGTTTGACAGATGCATGTGTTGTCTTATATGTTTTATGTTGGGCTCAAGGACAACCATAATTTTGTTTGGTCAATATCTACAAAAGAATTACTGCATTTAATCCCTATTAAAATCTGATAACTTAATATTATCAACCAAAATTTCATTGGGATTTTGCAAGAGCTGAAAGTGTTTTCACAATAGCTTGTCATAACTTTTTTATTCAGATAACTTTGTATTTCCAAAGGAATGATATATACAAGGAAGAAACTAAAATGGAAAATCCTAAAAATGAAAGAAACTGCCTTCTATACAAATTTTCTGCAGCCCTCAACTTATCTATGATCTATCTCAGTCTATATTTGAATGTTACAGTCATTCAAGCGAGAAGTGAGGTTTAGGAACTCATCCTCCTTGCATGGAATAGTAAGAGCCCCCATTGGATGATCATATATAAATTCTTCTTCTGCTTGACTAAGTAATTCTTGAAATGAAGTTTGGTTGAAATATGATACTGGAATCACGAACCGCCTCATTTTTTCTCCAACGTAGACGGCAAGATATCCTTTTGGGACTTCAAGTCCTTTAGGAGCTGCTTGAGTTGCAGATAGTGATGCCCGACTCATAATACTTGGCATGTGGAAACCCATTGTTTTTTGCTTCTCCACACAGCAAATAATATATACTGATGTCAAAGGACTTGAATTAGAAAGAAATATTTGAATTCTGATGCTTCAGGATGCAAATGACTTGTGTTGGCAAGAACCCAAATTGGTGTATATGTAGTTATTAAAGGCATGTGCAATCTAATTCCACTATGAATGATTTTTGACAGGGCAGGGTCTACAAAGAGACAAAGGATCACATGGTATTGTTTTAGAAATCTCTTTAGGAATTAGGAAGTTAAACGATAGTGCATACTGTGACACCCTTATTACTTATTATGCCATCAATATAAATATAATATTAAAATAATCCAAGCAGTAAGAAAGCCATATGTATGAGTTTACATTTGTTCATATTAATAGAAACTAAATACACCATCTGCATCAGTTATCCAAATACGTATATAGCAATCATCTGTCAAAATATACAGTCATCCAGTCATATAAACATATACACATAGCTGATTTACATACAAAATAAAGTGGAGTCACGATATCAGAGACAACAACAACAAAAATGACTTCACAAGCTTTTCCCCTAGACCCATGATTATCAAAAATACCATTTCCTCCAAAAGTTAACAGTACTCTAGGAGTAAATAGAAAAGTGAGTCTCATGGGTACCCTGATGGGGATGGGGTATGCTCGTGGGCCTGGTCCATTTCTATCTAACAAAAAGGTAATAGTGCCAGTATGGGTGGACTGTTGTCGTTCCCAATCGTGCGCCCATCTTCCTTCAGGATCATATCTGACTGTGACGCTAAACTGGTATGGTGGTCAGGCCATTTGTGTCCTCACCTACTAAACATATTCACATACAACACACATAGCAACTAAAAGGGTGAGACAAACCCATTTCAACCAAAGTACAGTAGAAAACACGTCAAAATATTTACAATCATTATAGCAATTAGCAACAACTCAACACACAATGTACATGCCATGTATGATTCTGTGCATCACCTAGTTAATTGCTATACTGACACATGCATGTGGGCCCAAACCATTTTCTTTTTCTTTTTCTCTTTCTTTCTTTCTGGGAAGGATCAGGAGTTCACTATCACCAACCATTCTTGGTCATAACCATCTCATTAGATAGTTTCAAAGATATAGCTCAACTGATTCTGATAATCCATCGGGTTCTGTTAGGATAGTCCGGTTTTGCAGTGAGAACCGACAGCACAGGGTTGCGAGCCCTAGCCTTTGCCCGACTCAATCACACCCAACTATCCCCAAGACTAACCTGGAGTCTCCCCTAGATTTCATATACTTCCAATCCAACACCATCATCATTACATGCTTATGATGCATGAACCTAATTTCAGTCTTTTAATTAGGTATTAAACATTTCTTTTTAATCAACAACATATATTTCAAAATTCTACTGACAATCCGGCAGAGTTTCCTCTATAATTCAGATATTTCTAAATTTTCTTCTCTCTGCAAAACAGATAGAAAATTCCAATACACTTCAAATTTTAAACAGAGTCTCACCACCACCACATTTCACAACTTTTCTTTCATTTCAATGGCTCTCAAATACCTTTTTCCAATTATCACCACATTTCAAAATACCCATTTAAAATAATACTTTAAAATGAATTAAAATCCTTTAAATTATTTAAATATGTATATAGGTATATTTTAAATATATAAAAACTATTAAATAAATTTTGATCAAACCACTTGAAATTAAAGAAGATTTTTTTTAATATCTTTATTTCGCAATTCTCCAATTCTTTTCAACTTTCAACAGACCTTCTATATGCTCACTCCACATGAATGATAGTTCATTCCTCAAGTATTTTAGGTAATCAATTATTTATACTGAATTCAACAAACAATTATCATAGGAACATTATCACACATAAAATCAATTTCAAAAAGGAATATCAAACAATTGTACACTAAGTATGGAAATAATTATAAATTCCTTCAAATAATTCATATATACATAGCAAAGAATAAAACACCCATTTCTCAACGTTTTTCTACTATACCCGTGAAAATAGATATGTCCCCCTTTACCTTGAAGTGTATACCGATTTTTTTCTCACCAACGACTTCTTTCCACCACTTCTCAAACTACGATCCTAACCAAATAATCACACATAATCATGATCAATGTTAAGAGGCATTAATCACCCAACCCACTACTAGTGAGTTGAAACTATCATTTTCTAATCTTCACAAAAATGGCTTACGGGTCTTACAATTATTTTCTATGATGTAAATGGAATACTATAAGCCTAAAGGTGATTAAAAATAATTATTTTCCCTTCATAACACTCTTGGGACAGCACCTCTAGACCAAGGGTTTTAAACCCCCAAATGCATTTTTAACAAAACAAAAAGTACCAAAATTATTTATTATAAAATATAGAAAGATTAAGCTAATTAAAAC